TTTGATTACTGTTTCAATTTCCTTGCTTGTTACTGGTTTGTTCAGGGTTTCTATTTCTTCCTTAATCAGTCTTAGATGATTGTATAATTCTTGCTAATTGAATTTGTTAGCATATATAATAGATATTCATAATAGTCTCTAATTACCCTCTGAATTTTTGCAGCATCTGTTGTGACCTGCCTATTTCATTTTTTAATTCAATTTATTTGAGATTTCTCCATTATTTTCCTGGTGAGCCTTGCTAAATGTTTATCTATCTACTTATTTTTTTCAGAGAACCAGCTTTTGGTCTCATTGGTCTTTTGAACTGTCTTTTAAATTTCTAATTCATTTCTTTCTGCTTTGATTTTTATTATTTTGGTTCCTCTAATGACTTTTGGATTAGTTCATCTTTTCTAATTCCACAGGTTGAGAGAAAAGGTTGCTTACTTGAGCTCTTTCTTGTTTCTTGCCGTGGGTCTGTACTGCTATATATTTCCCTTCTAGTTGTGCTTTTGCTACATTCCATAAGTTTTGGATGTTGTGTGTTTGTTATCATAATTTTTTTAAAATTTATTCTTTGATTTCTTCATTAACCCAGTAGTCTTTCTGTATTGTGTTGTTCAGTCTCAATATATTAAAATATTTCCCTGATTTCTTTTGATAGTTAATTTCATGTTTGATGCCTTCATGGTCTGAGAAGATGCTGAGGTCTTAGAAGATGCTGGGTATGATTCCAATCTTTGTAAAATTATTGATCTTTGTTAAATGTCCTGGAATGTTGTCTATTTTGGAAACTGTCCTATGTGTGCTTGAGAAAAATGTGTATTCTTCCTTTTGGAGGTGCAAGGTCTTGTATACGTCTATGAAGTCCAAGAGGTCTAACTCTCTATTTAAGGCTATTGTATCCCGGTCTAGTTGATCTATCCATTGGGAGAGTGGGGTGTTGAATTCTCCTACTACAAACTTGTTTTTCCCAATGTTTGTTTTCAGAGTTCATAGAAGTTGCCTAATATATTTTGTTGTTCCCGCATTGGTACATGTATCTTGATGAGTATTTTATCATTTTGATGTATTAGTTCATTCCCTTTATTGTTATATAGTGTTCCTCTCTGTCTCTTATTAACTGTTTTTCCAAAGATTTATTTGTTTATGTGTACAAGAGCTGGGGTGTAGGCCAGAGGTGCGGGGGTGAGAAGAGTCACCAAAGACAGAGTGGGGAACAGAACAGGCAGACCTACTAAAATATACTGCTGAGGAGAGCAGCGGGCAAGACAGGAGAGGTCTGCTGTGCCATGGGTCACCTCCCTGGTCAGGGATCTAACTCGTGCTGCAGTAGCTGCAGATTGCTTCATAGTGCTGAAACTTAACACCTTGTGCCACCAGGGAGGCCCCTCTCATTAACTTTTTTAACTGGAAATCTATTTTGGTACATATATATGTATATATATATGTATACACACACAAACACACACACACACACACACACACACACACGACTGTCCTTGACTTCTTTAGAGTCCCATTTGCTTGTATTATTGTTTTCCAGCTCTATAGTTTGAGCCTATGTTTGTCTTTGTGATTTAGGTATGTCTCCTGGAGACAGCCGAAGGGAGGATTGTCTTTGTATCTAACTGGATACTATGTCTTTTAATTGGTAAGTCCATTTAAATTTAAAATGGATCATTGCTACCATTTTATTCTTAATTTTTGTGGGTCAGTCTATTTCCTTATTTAGTTCTTTGTGTATGTTCCTCTTTTCAGTTTCAATGTGTAAGTTCCTTTCAATACGTGTTGGAGTGGTGGCTTAGTGTTTGCAAATTCCTTGAGTTTCTCTATGTCTGAACATGCCTTTCTTCCTCCTTCATATCTTCAGGAAAGTTTGCAGGATAGAGTTGGTTGGTAGTTTTTCTCTTTAAGTATGGGAACATGGCATTCCATTTTCTTCTTACTCGTAGCATTTCTTCAGAGAAGTGGTAGTAGTGTGATTGGGTTGCCTTTATATGTTATCTGCTTTCTCTCCCCGGTCAACTTCAGTATTCTTTCTTTGTCCTGAATTTTTGGAAATTTCACTACTGTTGGTCTTGCTGTCAATCTCCTATTATCTAGGTGTGCTGGGGTTCTTTTAGCTTCCTTGATTTGTACATTTATTACATACATTATCAGTTCCATTCTCTCTCACTTCCCTCTCTGGTATTCCTGTTATTCTCATTGCCTTTTCTCATGGAGTTGGGTATTTCTCAGAGTGTTTCTTCATTTTTCAAATTTCATTTCTCTCTTTCCTTTTCTACTTGGTTTCTGTGTACATTTGCATCTCAATTTTACTGACACATTGTTCCACTTGATCTAGTCATCTTATACGACTTTCTCCTGAGTGTTTTCATCTCCTGTATTCCTCTTTTGAAATCCTGAAACTCCATTTTTATCTTATTTAGAGATTCATTTTCTGTCTTTAGTTCAGTGATTTTATTCTAAGTACATTAATTTGTTTTTGAATTTTCCTCATTTTCCTTGAATTTCTTTGTCACTGCCATTCTAAACTCTCTATTTGAATGGGAGAACAACTCCTATGTCTGTGACTTAGGGTTCTGGAGATTCGTTTTTTGTGTTGTACTCTGCTTGGGAACTTATGTTACCATTTGTTGGATTTTTCTTTCTGCCCACTAATAGCTTGGGAAACTTCCTGTTGTATGTGGGTCCTCTTCTGGGCATGAATCCTCCCCCCTCACTGGTCAGGGTTCTCACCTATCTGGGTATAGCACTGACAGTGTCTCACAGGAGATCGTGAGACCTCTAGTCACTCTAGCTCACTCCCTGATGCAGGTCCAGGATCTCACCAGTCTGTGCAGGCCCTGATGAGGATCTCATGGGAAGTCACAGGGTCTTTGCAAGGCCACCAGGTGCTGGTAATTTCCTGTATAAGGTCACAAGTCTTTTCATGGTCTGGGCTGGTGCTGGCTGAGTCTTGTGGGAACTCACAAGACCTCTGCTGCTGGGAGTGGGCTGTCGGGGTCTCTTGAAGCCTCTGACTGCTCTGGCATCCTTTGCAACATTGGTCCAGAGCCTCATCAGACTGAGTGGGTACTGGAGGGGTCTGGCAGAAAGTTGGGAAACCTCTGCTGGTCTGGGCCAGAGCTGGCAGGGTCCCATAGAAAGTCATGAAGTCTCTAGCTGCTCTCTCTTTTGATATTTTATAGGAACATCTACATAAGGTCCAACAGTGATTGAATATAAAAGATGTGCGCCTAAACTTATGTGCCCATGAATCTCTTAGGAATCTTGCAAAACTGAATATTCCAAGTCAGCAAGCCTGGTGTGGACTCTGGGAGTCCATCCAGCCAATTTGTGAAGTACCTTTGGTGTACCAAAGCTTCCAATTACAAATGCAAGAACAGATACTATAATTATTCATAGATTTCTGTGTTTAGTGGAGTCACAGTGTCTACTGAGTAGATAATCATTTACAATAAACTGTGAACATCATCCCATTTCGTCCACATAACAGATCTTGGGGTAGTTTATATTGCTATCTCCTTTTTTGAATTTAAGAAAATTTAAAAAACTAGCAACAACAAATGTTGGCGAGGATGTGGAGAAAAAGGAACTCTCCTGCACTGTTGGTGGGAGTGCAAACTGGTTCAACCACTATGGAGAGCTGTGTGGAGATTTCTGGACCTACTAAACATAGAGCTTCCATATGATCCAGCAATTCCATTCCTAGGTATTTACCCAAAGGACATAGAAACATCAATTCCAAAGAGCACCTGCACCCCTATGTTTATAGCAGCACTGTTTACAATAGCTAAACTTTGGAAACAACCCAAATGCCCAAAAATAGATGACTGGATCAAGAAGATGTGGTACATATACACCATGGAATATTACTCAGCATTCAAAAAAGATAAACACATGCAATTTGCAGCAACATGGATGGCGCTGGAAAGGATCATGCTCAGCAAAATAAGCCAGAAAGAAAAAGAAAAATACTGGATGATCTCACTCATAGCAGGAATCTAGAAAACTTAAATAAAGGACCAGGAAAATGAATAACTATAAGAAAGTGAAAATCAAAAAAAAAACAAAAAAAACTATGAACCAGAGACACTCTATGGTGGGTGGGGGGCAGGGAGGGGAGGGACTGGGGCCAAAATAAGGGGGTTGCAGTTGTATGGGGAATATAAAAATAAATTTTTTTTTAAGAATTTTTTTTTAATAGAGGCATGTTTTATTTATTTATTTGTTTGTTTGTTCAGACATGCACTGGGTACAGTCAGAAGCGCAGGAGGGTGAGAGAATTCACCAGAGCCAGAGCAGGGAGCAGAGCAGGCAGAAGGACCCAAGTACACTGCTGAGGGGAGCAGCCGGCGGCAGGAGAGGTCTGCGCGCCATGTGGGACCCTCCTCTGGTGGCCGGGGAGCAGTCGGGGATCGAACCGGTGCCGCAGAGGCCGTGGGCAGCCTCACAACCCAGGGAGGCCCAAAATAAAATTTATTTAAAAAAAATTTTAATACAGGTATTGAAAAGCAAAAAGAAAAAAAAATTAGTTAAGTCTTTAAGATGTTGATTGCCTTCCAATCATTATAATTGCCATTAGGCAGTAAAACCAGAACAAGAATTTAAGAATTTTGACTCTTAATTTATTAGTATTTTCATTATACTAGAGTTTTATAAACTGTTTTTATAAACTTTGCTGTTCTTCAAGTACTAATAAAAAAGCCAAAATATGCTAAATTCCCTTTCTTCCTTCTAAACAGAATTTAAAAATAGACATGTAAGGGAAAAATAGCTATTTATATTTTGCCATTATCTTTCTATAAGCAAAAGAGTACTATATTCCAGTGCACCAGGAAGGTATAAGTAAGCTGATGTGACACATACCTAAAGAAATCCCCTTTGCACTTTGATGTATGCACAGCTGTAACCAATAAATACAGCAATTTCTGTTTCCCATTTCAATCTGTGTATCCCCACTGGAGTCCATACATTATGACTTAAATGTTTTATGGACAAATGGGAATATATTAGATAGCACAGCTCCTTACCTTCTTCATGTCTTCATAGAAGAGGTAGAGAATGTTGTGTTGGTCTTTGGCTTTCCACCATCCCTTTACATGGTCATACCAAGAACCCCAGCACACTGCAAGATAGGATGAAAAACAAGGCAAAGAGTCATCACGGCTTCACCAAAAAAATATTCTACTGGAAGCAGAATTCCTAAAGAAAGGGAGATTGTCACATTGATGGTTATTTCTTATTAAAGAGGGCAGAACCCTTGCTTTTCTAAGGAAACTATCCTTTCTTTTTAGAGTTTTTGAGGATCTTGAGAAAGGAAGGAAACAAAGCTGAATTCTCTCACCTTTTCCAGTCAGAAAGCTCTCAAAATATTCCTCCCAGGTTCCTGGAGCAGGAAGTGCCTTATTCATTCTATGGAAGTGGTAGTAAGATACCATATTGTCCTTGGGATTTCTTGCTACATAGATTATCTATGGATGGTGGGATGAGGGGAAGAAATAAAATTAGAATTAGACCTATATGTATAGTTATTGCGCAGATAAGTAATGTTAGGGTGGATACATTACATTAACATGACTTTTTCTGATGTAACTTGTGATGTTGGCTTTTGTAGGAGATACAAATGACTCATCAACTTACACATTGACTATTGTAAAGAGATAGACTTTTTTTTTCCTTTAACAACAAAGAAGTGTTTCAGAGGAAATTGACAAAAGACAATTTCTTTCTAAGAACACTTTTAATTCCTTTTGTTCTTTACCTTACAATTTTTCTCTAGGAAGGATGGCGGCAGCAAGTGAAAGGGAAGATGTGTTTTCAGGGTCCGTGGTGAGGGCATGTCATTAGCTTGTTCCAAACCTGTAAAATTGATTTTTGATCACTTCCCACTTTTTTTTTTATTTATATCAAAATCTTGTTGCTTCCATTATTAATACTGAGGAACAATTCAAGACAGCTGTAAGAGCACTGTTACTTCCATAGATCTGATCTGAAGAATGTGTCTAGCTTATGAATGAAGGTTTTGGCTAAAATAGTTTTAATCTATAACAAAAACCAAACTAAATAAATTTAATTTACTTTTGCTTACATAGTAATTCCATTAGAAAATTTCTGGAGTAGAGCAATGCCACAGACAGTTAAGAAAAAAGATAAAGCTACAAAATTCATCAATAATTGTTTGAATGTCTAGAATTCTTTTTTGTTTTTGAAAGTTGTTATATTCTTGTGTACTTTTTCAGTTTGGATGCATAGAAACTTGAAAGGAAATTTGATAGTAAAAATTCTAAGTATGTGTTTAGGATGGTAGTTAAGTGTGATTATTTCATACTCACCAGATCCTATAGATGGCATTATCCATTCAATGAAAGGAAATCGTATATGAGTAGGTGCTCGTTGACTTTTGCCAATATCACCTTCATTTTGTATTAAGTCCACAATCTCCTGAGTCCATGTTGTTCCTTATTTCACATGTAAGGTAAAGGCACATAGACATTTAGTATCCCACATTCCTTGAAGTATGATCAAATACTTTTATAACATCTATGTGAAATTCACAGTTAGTATTCAGAAAAAAAATCATTATTTATAACTTATGTTATCATGTGAATTTTTATTACAAAGACTCCAATTTACAGTCAACACTGAATTGGTAAATAAATGTATTCAATTTTCTCCCTGTCACAACATTTAATTTGGATTACTATTTCATTGATTTAGCTACATTATTCTTTCAATGGAAAAATGAAAGATTATGATCTGGAAAATAATTACTATGTGGTTTTAAAACTGTTTCCCAAGGATGTAGCAGTAAGTTGCCATGTAGGAGCCACTTAATGCATGTTGGTGGAATGAACTAATGCCTGGGCTCCATAGCGATTTTTAGTACTTAGTATCCATTTTATGCTTTTCACTATTTTGCCTTTATCTCAGGGGCCAAGGCTGAAAAATGCATTCCCTAAACTCCTTTGTCACTAAGATTCTGAGTACTATTTTGATCCTGCTAATAAAATACATTAGCTTGTGATTTGGAAGGAGATAGTGGCAAATACTAGTGGCTCCAACAGTTAGAAATTTTGCAGAGGCCATTCCACATTCTGCTGTCTAGTATCTTAAACCCAAGAAATTGCATCTTCATGGCCATCACTGTCACTAGAAGCAGCACCTCAGTCTCCTGACTTCAGTGAACTTTTTCTCCTGTTTGCTTCTGACTGATATAGTGCCTACCAAATGAATTTTCATCCTATGAGGAAGATATGTTGTACAAAATATCTGACAAAATCCATGTTGGGATGATGCTGGATAATTTTAGGATGGCTTTCTGAATCCCGAATCTGGGCTGATTTTTCTTACATCCTCTAACATCAATTCTCATACTCTCAACGCAGAGCTTTTGGGTCTACAAGAAGGGCATAGGTTAGAAAACACTGAAGAAATTACATTTTACATCCTAAGTGAGCTGTTCTTTAATATTTTCTGGCACTAACTATTTCATTACAGGATAAAGAAACAAAATTTTTTTTTTTTTTTTTATTTATTTATTTTTTTTTAAATATTAAATTTTATTTTTATATTCCCCCATACAATTGCAAACGCCCCATTCTGACCCCAATCCTTCCCCTCCCGCCCCCCACCCCCCAAAAAGTGTCTCTGGTTCATAGTTTTTTGTTGATTTTGATTTTCACTTTCTTATATTCATTTTCCTGGTCCCTTATTTAAGTTTTCTAGATTCCTGCTATGAGTGAGACCATCCGGTATTTTTCTTTTTCTTTTTGGCTTATTTCGCTGAGCATGATCCCTTCCAGTGCCATCCATGTTGCTGCAAATTGCATGTGTTTATCTTTTTTGAATGCTGAGTAATATTCCATGGTATATATGTACCACATCTTCTTGATCCAGTCATCTATTTTTGGGCATTTGGGTTGTTTCCAAAGCTTAGCTATTGTAAACAGTGCTGCTATAAACATAGGAGTGCAGGTGCTCTTTGGAATTGATGTTTCTGTGTCCTTTGGGTAAATACCTAGGAGTGGAATTGCTGGATCATATGGAAGCTCTATGTTTAGTAGGTCCAGAAATCTCCACACAGCTCTCCATAGTGGTTGGACCAGTTTGCACTCCCACCAACAGTGCACAAGAGTTCCTTTTTCTCCACATCCTCGCCAACATTTGTTGTTGCTAGTTTTTTTAATATGTGCCATTCTCACTGGTGTGAGATGGTATCTCATGGTAGTTTTGATTTGCATTTCCCTGATTACAAGTGATGTTGAACATTTTTTCATATGTCTGTTGGCCATTTGCATTTCCTCTTCAGAGAAGTTTCTTTTTAGCTCTTCTGCCCATTTTTTGACTGGATTATATTCTTTGTTGTTGCTGAGTCTCATCAGCTCTTTGCAGATTTTTGTGATCAGTCCTTTATCATTAGTGTTGGGTGCAAAAATGTTCTCCCAGTTGGTGGGGTTTCTCTTTGTTTTTGTTATTGTCTCTTTTGCTGTGCAGAAGCTCTTTAATTTGATGTAGTCCCAGCTGTTGATCTTTCTCTTCACTATCACTGCTTTGGGTGATGTGTCTGTAAAGATGTCTTTGATGTGCAAATCCCGTAGTGTTTCGCCTATATTTCCTTCTATGTATTTTATGGTTTCAGGTCTTATGTCTAGTTCTTTAATCCATTTTGAGTTGATTTTTGTGTATGGTGTGAGGTAGTGGTCAAGCTTCATTCTTTTGCATGTAGCGACCCAGTTTTCCCAGCACCATTTATTGAACAAACTTTCTTTGCTCCAATGCATAGTCTTTGCTCCTTTGTCAAAGATTAGTTGACCATAAATCTGTGGGTTTATTTCTGGATTTTCTATTCGATTCCATTGGTCTGTATGTCTGTTCTTGTTCCAATACCATGCAGTTTTGATGATTATGGCTTTGTAGTATAGTTTGAAGTCTGGGAGTGTGATGCCTCCATTTCCTTCTTTTTTTTTCAGTAGAGCTTTGGCTATTCGGGGTTTTTGGTGATTCCATATGAATTTCATCAATAATTGTTCTATTTCTTTGAAGAATGCCATTGAGATTTTGATTGGAATAGCATTGAATCTGTATATTGCTTTTGGTAGGATGGCCATTTTAATAATGTTTATTCTTCCAATCCATGAGCAGGGGATGTCTTTCCATTTCTTTGTGTCTTCTTCTATTTCTTTTAACAGTGTTTTATAGTTTTCTTTGTATAGGTCCTTTACCTCTTTTGTTAGATTTATTCCCAAATATTTGATTTTTTTTGAAGAAACAAAATTTTTAACTATCTACTCAAAGAATGTTAGAGCTATTTGTACTAGTTTTATGTTTTTACTCTGAATTTATAGCTATCGGTTAACATTGGGTCACTAGAGGTTCAGTGATAATTAGAATGGCTTTTCAATTTAACCTCTAAAGTCAATCTTTTCATGATATGTTTTTTCTTGGGTCATTTATTATTTATCTATTCTTTTAAAATTTATTATTTTTTATTATTATTATAAGTACTAAATAAAAAGTTATTAATGATAATGATTTGTTATTCTTTTAAAAATCCAGGATAAAACAACTTTTATCTGTTTACTTCTTCCTTCTAATAAGTATAGCTATTATTAACATAAAGGTTATAGATATATTAATATTACATTAACTGGCAAGCATTTCATTTTTTTTGTATTATTTTATTTTATTTTATTTATTTTTTTTTTTCTATACTTTTTTTTTTTTTTTTTTTTTTAAAGATTTATTTATTTATTTATACCATTACTGGGTACAGTCAGAAGTGCAGGAGGGTGAGAGAATTCACCAGAGCCAGAGCAGGGAGCAGAGCAGGCAGAAGGACCGAAGTACACTGCTGAGGGGAGCAGCGGGCGGCAGGAGAGGTCTGCGCGCCATGCGGGACCCTCCTCTGGTGGCCGGGGAGCAGCCGGGGATCGAACCGGCACTGCAGAGGCTGCGGGCAGCTTCGCAACCCAGCGCTCAACCGCTGCGCCACTGGGGAGGCCTACATTTTTTTGTATTATTTTAATTATTCAAGTCCCACTAACTCTAAGCCATGAAAACCCTAAATGAACCAAATCTTAATGCTCACATTTGGCAGTTAGAGATAAAGATTTATTATTAAACATTATATTGAGATAATGATAATAAAGTAGAGTTGTAGATGAAATTAAGGAAGTGAAATTACTGCTACTGCTAGAAATTCACATTTAGAGAAATTTAGTCCTGAATAGACTCCTCATGAGTAAGATTGCAAAGTCAGTACCCATATGAAACTAATGTAGAAATAAGAATCTAAGGCCCCCATTGGCTACATATTCTTTTGCTAAGATCTTTGAGGCAGAGACACAAAAATACACAATCTCAGAAAATACTTCGGTTTAGATTTTTTGGAGGGGTATGCGTGTATGTCTGTGTAGCAGGAGTTAAGAACAGGGAGTTTGATTTTGCAGAATACATGTATATGCAATTTAGGTGTGAATTGAGTATTGTGTATTTTGTATATACAAATATCTGTAGAGAACTATTTCTTCCTGCCTTCACCCAAAATTTTAAGATGTAGTGTCTGCATTCAAGTTTATTTCTGAACACAATTTATTAAACCAATTTTTTGTTAAGCCAATTTGAGGCAAGGAATCAGTTTACAAGACACCACGAAGGAGGGGGACATGAACAGAGTAGTTCTCAAACACTGAACTGGGAGAATTTTGAGGGATTCTGAGGACCACTGAGGTAGAATCAGCATTTTGGAACCAAAGCTCCTCTTATTCTTCCCCAAATCAGTCTCAGGATCCCCTTCGAGCTCACACACACAAAGCAGTTTTTTGCAAGATCTACAATGAGGGCCTGTACTAGAAAGAAATAAATGAATCAGTCTAGCTTTTTTGTTCTTAATGAATTCACTGTCCCCTAAGGAAGTGAAAAAAAAATCACGCAAAGAACTAAACTCTTAAAATGTATAGGTCGTTCTAATATGTTTCATGTGGTTTTAGTCTCCACAAGCGATTTTTCTTAGCCCTACCACTTTGCCCTAGAAAGTTTTCCACTCAAACACAGATAACTTTACTTAATTATTAACATGTCTTTCCCGTTTACTTTCCTGTCTGCAATTTCTCCTCTCACTTTCCACATACCTGCTTTAGGATAGGTAGAAATAAGCAGATCATCAGTTTTGGCTTGGAAGTTCCAAATCTGATCCCAGCTGTCACATGTAGGTGTGGGTTGAAGAATTCCCTTCACGTAGCCAACAGTGACGCGCTCTGTGTCATCAGATGTTGAATCCTTCATTTTGTTTAAAGCCATTAGTGCCAGAAATCAGAGTACTGTTCGAGAAAGAATGTTATCACTCAGCACAAAGCTGTATTCTTGATATTGTACAGACAGTGCAAAACTCAGATTATAAGATTTAGCCCTTTCTGGCACACCTTGTTGAAGGCTTGCAATCAAGGAGAAAACTAGCTGCAGGCCTGCTGGCGCAAGTTCCAAGGAACTAGAAACTGTTTAGGACTTTGTACAAGGCGTTTTCCTGATGAATTGCAGGCTTCCTCCCCCCAGCCAGGCTGTTACATAAACATGCACTCACAAATTCGGATTGCTGTGTCATGTTCACATCCAGTCTGTAGTTTCAGAGCAGCATATTCTATGCTAGCTTAACAGCATTTAGCGTTCTTAACATTTCTCATCTTTATATTCACAAAATAAGTCACACTTTCAGCAATTTTTTCTTATTGGGAATTTTAAGCTAATTAAAAAGTTGCAAGGAATTTGTCCATGGAATTATAGATTGCATAGAATAACATTCCTGAAAGGCTGAAGGTACATGCTACGGTTAACAATGAAGTCCCAGCACAAATAACCAAAAGGGCAAGCTCTTTCTTGATCTCCTTCCTTCCTTCTTGCAGTCTTCTCTAGCTTTCTTTCCTGCCCAGCCCCAACCTTCCTTAGGCTGTGCAGGGAACCTGAAACCTCTCCTTTCCCTGGGAATTACCCTGCTACATTGTGAAAAGTATGTGTACTGTTTCTTAAATTTATTTCTATGATCTTCACAATCATGTGTGTCAATAGAGTAGAGGAGGTCTGTCAATATCTTAATGGTTTCGTTTAGTACGTTGTATACAGGAGATGGAGGACTGGGTGATGGGGGAAATGCTCACCATTTTTTTTTTTTTTCTTGTGATGAGAATTAATTTTTTATTTTTTAAATATTTTATTTTATATAATTCTTACATCATTTTTCATTTTTGCACAATGTATGCATTTTCATTTTGGTTATGTTCCCCATACAATTGCACCCCCCCTTATTTTGACCCTAGTCCTTTCTCTCTCTCCACGCCGACACCCCCCCCCCCCCATCGTAGTGTGTCTCTGGTTTATAGTTGCTTGTTGATTTTGATTTCTACTTAGGTTTTCTAAATTCCTGCTATGAGTGAGACCATCTGGTATTTTTCTTTTTCTTTCTAATTTATTTCGCTGAGCATGATCCCTTCTACCTCCTTCCATGTTGCTGCAAACTGCATGTGTTTATCTATTTTGATTGCTGAGTAATATTCCATGGTGTATATGTACCACATCTTCTTGATCAGTCATCTATTTCTGGGCATTTGGGTTGTTTTCATAGCTTAGCTATTGTAAACAGTGCTGCTATAAACATAGGGGTGCAGGTGTTCCTTGGAATTGATGTTTCTGTGTCCTTTGGGTAAATACCTAGGAGTGGAATTGCTGGATCCTATGGAAGCTCTATGTTTAGTAGGTCCAGAAATCTCCACACAGCTCTCCATAGTGGTTGGACCACTTTGCACTCCCACCAGCAATGCAGGCTGGTTGGGGTTGAATACAGACCCAGGGAAAGTTGCAAGTTTAAAATAGTTTGAAGAATTATCATGACGACATATTCTTTCTTTATTCCCATTTAGGATTTTTAGTCAATTCTTTCTTACAATAAAATGTTCTACTTGGTTATTATAAAAATAAAGTGATGCTAAATCTACACTTGAAAGCATTACTTTGGAATCCTAAATATCTGAGTTTGAAAATGCCCCTTAAGAGATGTTTTATCTTTCTAGTTATTTGATCTTTTCTGAGTTCTTTTTTACCTCACAGGGTTAATGTAAGAATGCATGTGGACAAGTTGTTCTGCAGACTTGGCACACATTGGACTTTAAAGATAATGTCCTGGCTCTCTCATCCTTCCCTGAACCTGTTTTCTGTCTTTTTAATCTCACTGTGCCCCCTTGCCCCCCAAGAAGAGGAAATTCCAACCCTCTGTGCCCTCTTTTTAAAAAAAAAATTTTTTTTTTTTTTGAGATAACAGTGGTTTACAACACTGTATGTGATTTAGAGCTAGTGGTTCTCAAGTGCACTCTGGATATCCCAGCTGAAATCTCTAGCAGCATGTTCAGGCTTCAAAATGATTCATTTGAAAAAATTATGACTGCAAATTCTAATCTGCTCTTATTAGGGAAAGTCAGAATGCTGGTTACTGTCCTTAATACAGGTTCTTATGCATTGTTACAAAAGCCATATATCTAAAATGTATTTTGTTTCAACAAACTTTTAAAGACAACCATTAGGGGGAAGAAAAGACAGTGATGATTAGAAAGTGAGCTAAGCTTATATTGAATAAAACAGAATTGAAATTGTCTTCATTCCTTGAATTAATATTTGGTTATGCTTATAAATACTCCACTATTATCTAATCCTTGAAACCAAATCACAAGAAAGAACAATAAAACCGTGATCAGTATAGCTGGAACCACATCCATATTTTTAAAGGATTGAATAAAATCTAAAGGTTTATCTATAACTTGTTCCATCATACCTTCTTATTTTCAGTTGACCATTATATTTGTAGAAATCTTTTCCAGAAGTTGAATAGGGAAAAAAGTGAATTTCAAATGAATTTTACTGATACTTACAATTATAATCAACCTCAGAGATTGCAGGTGAATTGTGTACTCTTAATGAAGTAAGGATGTAGGAAATCTTAATCTCAGCAATTCCTTAAAACATAAACCCAAGAAGGGCCTCCCCTGGTGGCGCAGTGGTTGAGCACTGGGCTGCGAAGCTGCCTGCAGCCTTTGCAGTGCCGGTTCAATCCCTGGCTCCTGGGCGAGGGTCCCACATGGCGTGCAGACCTCTCCTGCCATGCCCGCTGCTCCCCTCAGCAGTGTATTTCATCAGTCTGCCTGTTCTGTTCCCTGCTCTGGCTCTGGTGAATTCTCTCACCCTCTCGCGCTTCTGACTGTACCCAGTGCTTGTATAAATAAATAAATAAATCTTAAAAAAAACCCAAAAAGCATAAACCCAAGAATCCTTTACATTCTTGTGGGGGAAATCTAGGTCAAAATGCAGAACACACAGGTAAATTTGAATTTCTGACAAATAATGAATGAATTTTTAATATAAGCATATTCCATGAGATGTTTGGGACATGCATAAAAAACACATTTGTTGTTTATTTGAAAGGCAAATGTAATCGGGTGTTATGTATTCTATCTGGACACTTTCACGTTCACAAGAAGTTGCTAGCTAAGTCTAAGTTCAAGACAGAAAAGCTTTGGAAGCTTAAGAGTGGAACCTGAAACATAATTGAATCAGGAAGTCCTTCAGAATCTCACACGAGCTAACAGATCTCCAGTCTCTTTTCCTGTTGCTTGTTGGGATATGTGTACTGTTTGTACTTTGCAGTTATTACCATCTTTGCATGTTCTTCTTCTGAGCCTCGAGATGATAAAACCAGGTCATGTAAAGCAGGAAGAGTGTGTCAGAATCTAAGTCCTCTCCGGAATTCACTCTTCCTTTGGGTCCCCTAAGTTTGAAATTGTAGACTATTAGCAAGAAGTCTCTGGTTGGTAGTAATTGGTTCAAGTCTCAAACCACAGAGAGCTTTATTGAATGAAAATGATATATTGAGTGCAAAACGTATGGACAGCATTTACACCTGTGGACTGATCTAGGCAAACCTCTGTTCTCTTACAAGGAAAGGAATGTCAAAAATGTTGCTAATATGACTATTCTACCTCATGAAGATATTCTCATCCCCAAAATAGCAATTCCTCCCCTCTTACCAAACAAAGGAGAAGGATAAAGATCTGCTCTACTATTTTTCTTCTTCCCACCAGTTGCAAGTACTTGTTGTCATGACATAATTTCATCAATAAGCTTTAAATACAACCATTTTGAAATGCATGAATACTTACTCAAATGCCAAAGCAAGGACTTTCCTCTTCCTCTTTCCTCTTTTCTTCTTCTCTGTCGTCTTTCAACATTTATTATCTCCCTGAAATGGGTGAATTGCGAGATGTGCCCTCTTACTGAATTGACTATGTTGGGATGTTTACCAGTCTGAATGTCTCCTGTTGCTGGTCTCACAGCAACCAGGTGAGGTTAAAAATTAATAGGGTGTTTTGGGTGACTATTCAATTCCCAAACCTATCTCATCATTTCCTCAGTTATATCGTATGAATTGAGAGAATATGTAGGGATTTGAGGGAGCTATAAATGATGTCCAGATCAAGTGGTAATGTGGTAGAGACCTGGTAATAATGCCTAACAATTGCATATGCTTTGCATTACCCATATGTTTCTACAGAAGCACATTATCTACCAGTATGGGCCTTGATAACAGAGCACATGATTCTAAGAGGAATGGGCACCCAAACTCAGAGCAGTGTTCATGGCAGATGTTGTTGATGGTGGATCCAGGCCAAGGCAACTTCTTTTAATGTTTTATAAAGGTATATTTGATATATAACATTATATTAGTTTCATGTCAACATAATGATTCAATATTTGTAAGTATTACAACATTATTGAAACAGTGCTAAGAGGGTTATAGGACTACAGTGCTCAAAAACGCAGTGCCCAGGTAGAAGACAGGTCACTGTCTACGGGTTCTTACCCACACGCCCAATTGCAAGACCACTCAGGCTCAGGGAGCAACAATTGGGTTTACTTAATAAACAGGGGCGGCCTCCCCTGGTGGCACAGGCAGTTGAGTGCGGTGCTGTGAAGCTGTCTGCAGCCTCTGCAGTGCCGGTTCAATCCTGGCTGGCGGGTAAGGGTCCCACATGGCACCACAGACCTCTCCTGCCTCACCCGCTGCTGCCCTCAGCAGTGTATTTCATCAGTCTGCCTGTTCTGTTCCCCACTCTGTCTCTGGTGAATCCTCTTACCCTCCCATGCATCTGGCCTCTACCCTGGTTCTTGTATATATATAAATACATAAATCTTTTTAAAAAAATAAACAGGGGAAACAATGAGTTTCTAAGGCTACAAGTGGCCAGCTGTCTCACCTCAGAAAGTGTCCACAGTGTCCAGGCGTCCCAAACAAAAGGCCACTTGTTCAAGATGGTGCTTCTGTCAAGGAGGGCCTGTGGCTCATGGCACCCTGGCAAGCAGTGGGCCAGGCTCCAACTCATGGTGGCTCTCTGAGATGATATCACAGCAGCCCACAGTAACTGTCCGAAGTTTGGGCAGACAGCACTGGATACCAGACCAGACAGCAAGGGAGGCAACAGCAACAGCAGGCAGTGCTGGATGATCAGAAGTGGTGGACAGCTCTCAGTG